TACTTAGAAATAGGTATGGTAATAAATAAAGTTCACATGTTTTTGCTACGTAATCGTGACGGATAAGTAATGTAAATGAATATAAAGAAGTTATTACATATTGTGCAATTAGATATTGTGCAATTACATATTGTGTATTTCTACTCAAATATGTTATTATAATGTGATAACGGGAATGAAGGTCTATATTGCGAATATATTTATTATTTTTCGTACGTATATCATTTTGACAAGTTAAATAGAATATTTCGTAAAATATATCGGAAAATTTTTGACGAGTCATTTAATTTTATCTTTCTTTCTCTGTTCTTTTTTTTTTGTTCCTATTTTTCTTTTTCCTAATTTTCTTTTTTTTTTCTTTTTTTTTTTTTTTTCTATCGTATTTATTGTGCAAACGCGCATAACTATCTGATAGATTGCAGACATCTACATTCACGATTACAGAGAACTTCTTTACCGACTCCTCGTTATTTCACATTGACAAGGTCGTTCATGTGTTCGATTAAAAAAAATTTTTTCCCTTTCTTTTCCTCCCCCCCCGCTTTTTTTTTGTTTCTTTTTTATTTCCTTAATAATCATTTCGTAATTAAAAAGTTACTAAAATGGCATATCTTCTGTTTTATTTTTTATTTTTATTTTATTTTTATTCATTATGCTCGTTCAATTTCTAACAATTACATTAATTAAGGAGGAACGTTATATTAACGCAGTTATTAAGAACAAATTATATGATTGATAAATGAACAAGTGTAATGTTTAATACGAACGAGAAACGTGTGTAAATATAATTTTAATCGTACGATCGAAAACATGATCGATTTTGAAAATATTTAATTGAGTAGATAAAAAGGAAAAGAAATTTATTTTACAACGTGGCACCGTTAAATATAAAAGTTTGTGATATTAACAGAATCGACGATTGTTTAGTTTTTTTTATTTCTTTTTTCTTTTTTTTTTTCTTTTTCTTTTTTTTTTTTCTTTTTATTACCTTACGCTCATTAAAACAATTTCAATGATTTATTGTAGAAAATATGTTTTTTTTTTTTTTCGTTTTTTTTTTTTTATTTTTTTCTTCTTTTCTTTTGCTTTCTTTTTCTTTTTCTCTTTTTTTTGCAATCACTAATAAAATTATAGCGTTGCTCGACATAATTATACGATGACACTAAAGATAAATTAATAATATCGTAATTCTTAGCTCTATAAGATTTAAACAGCAACAAGTATTTTTTTTAATAAAAAGGTTCGATATCTTATATTTAAATAAATAACTTTATATATTTATTTTCTCAATTGAAAATTTTTAATATTTTATATACAAATAAATAACGCAATATTATGTTCCTTTTCATTCGACAATTTTTAATATTTCACATTTAAATAAATCACGCTCTCCGTAGTATTTTTCTTTTTTTCTTTTTCTTTCGAATATTTTTTATATTTAACGTTTAAATAAATAATGCCGTGCAATTACTTGTTTTCTTTTTTTTTTGCCTTTCTTCTTTTTCTTTTTTTTCTTTTTTTTTTTTCCATTGAAAAATTTCGAAAATGTTTTATATCTGAACAAATAACTCTATACATATACATATATATATATATATATACACACATACAAATAACTCTATGTATTACAAATAACTCTCCTTTTATATTGAAAATTTTCAATATTTTACATTTCAATGAATTAACGTCATATAGTATCGAAATAAATGATATTAATATCTTTCTACGTTGAAAGTATAAAATTAATGATCGATCATTTTTCAATCGTTGATCGATTGCAATTTCATATCTTTCTTTCTTTCTTTCTTTTTTTATTATTATTTTTTTTTTCTTTTTTCTTCGTTAATGAAAAATTCGTAATAGGAGATTAGGAAGAAAGAAAGAAAGAAAGAAAAAAAAAAAAAAAGAAAAAAGAGAAAGGAAAATAAAGTGTTATACAGACTTACGTTTATTTTTTTTAGATCCTCGTGTAAATCTTCCTTCTTACTGCTGTCAAGGAATCCAAGCAGCAGAAACAATTGCCACTTCACTCATCGTCGGCTAACCTTGCACTAAACTACATCGTCGCGGTCATGCCGCGATAACAAAAGTTATACGAACTATATAGGACATATTTTAGATAGACCCTGCATTTAATCGGAACACCGTTAGTAGGACAACAATGTCTGCCATCCCCTCTCTCCATTATTTTATAACGAATAGATATACTTTTTAATTTTATATGATGGCATTTCTTTCGCTTTTTTTTTTTTTTTTTTTTTTTTTTTTTTTTTTTTTTTTCTTTTTTTTCTTTCGACAAGACATATTCGCGAATGATAACGACTATAATTACGACTACGACGACGACGATTACGATGATGAGTTTCGTAATTTTTTTTTTTTTTGTCTTTTTTTGTTTTTTGTGTTCTAACTTCATATAAATCAATAGAAAAAGAAAAGAGGAAAAAAGAGCGAGGGAAACAGAAAAAAAGATAAATGTCGTAATTTAAAGAAAAAAAAAAAAAAAAAAAATTAACAAAATCCCCATAAAAATTACGCTAATGATAATTAAAATAGAAGAGAATAGGATAAGAAAGAAAATTTGTTGAACTATGATTTGCCGTAGAAAAATTTTATAACGTTAATATTTCGATTGTAATGACGCAAAATATGAAAATAAAGAGAAACAAAAAAAAAAAAAGAAAAAAAAGGAAAGAAGAAAAAAGAGATTAATCATAAATAAATGTAATCGTTAAAGTTTCAAATGGATCAATAACAATCGTATGCGCGTATAAGATGTAAACGAGACGATAAGAAAAAAAGGAAAAGAGAGAAATAGAAAAAAGAAAAAAAGAAAAAAGAAAAGAATTGTAAATGATTTTACAGAAAATAAAGGCAGCTTAGATAGATCCCTCATGTTATTGCAAAATGTAATAGAAATGGAGGCGGTGGGTATGATAATCTCATAACTACAGAATGACGAAATGATAATAATTCGTTGGAAAATGTTCGATGCGTAAGTCTTAAATGGAAAAGAAAAAAATAAAGAATAAGAAAAAAAAAAGAAAGAAATAAAGAACAAGAAAGAAAGAAAAAAATAAGGAATAGGAAAAAAAAAAAAGAAAAAAAAGAAGAAGACGAAGGAGAAGAAGAAGAAGAAGAAGAAGAAGAAGAAGAAAAGAATTAATAATGCAAAAGTTAAAAATACTTTCTTTCTCCTTTTCCTTCCTCTTCTTCCTTTTGTTTTATAAAAATGTTTTTTCTTTTTTTTCTTTTCTTTTTTTTCTTTTTTCTTTTTTTTTTTTTTTCTAGTCTCGATGCGATAAAGAGGGTCTATAGTAATAGTCGCATGTAGGCCCACTGTCCCCGATATTGTCCGAGCCGTCCATTGTGCGAAACTCGCGAAGATGGAGGTAACATAATGAAACTAATTGGCTTGCTCTGATCAATTAACTCGCGCAAGCTTAATATTTAATGTAAGCTCGCTGTCTTCTTCATGTTCTACGTGGACACGTATTTATCGAGGATATAGGCTAACGCGAAAACGCACGTGTACGTATGTATATATATATATATATGTATATATGCTTATACAAATATATATATCTATATAAACGTATGTAATTTGAATATATAAATTTCAAATCAAAGATGAAACTTTGATAAATTCAAATGGAAATTAAGTTTCTTTTTCCTCCTTCTTTCGTCCATTTTTTTTTTTTTTTTTTGGATCTTTTTTCTTTTTTTCTTTCTTTTTTTTTTTTTTACCATTAACCAATACATGAAAATATTATGAATCTCGAATGAACGATAATTTTTTGCGAAGTAAAGTTCTTAAGCTTCCTTTCTTTCTTTCTTTCTTTCTTTCTTTCTTTCTTTCTTTTTTTCCGAAGCCTTTTTAGACTTACAATTTTACAATTTGAAAAAAAAAAAAAGAAGAATATAAAAGTTAGCCTTGAAAAGTTTAAAAATTTAAAAAGAGAGAGAGAGAGAGAGAGCAAGAGAGTAATCGACTTTTAAAATTATTAATGATCTTTTGACTTCGTCTAAGAATTTTTTTACCACCCTTGTACGTATATGTATTAAAAAAAAAATGTATATATATATATATATACGTTTTTTTTTTTATATATACACGTATACTTAATATAAATTTAAAAAAAAAGAAAAAGAAAAGAAAACATTGATCTCCTCTCAAATTAGATGAAAAATTGTTGTAAAATGGATTTGTTCGAAGGCAACGTGAAAATTCTTTTTTTTTTCTTTTTTTTTTTTTTTTAACAAATAAATAATATATATATATATATTATTATATTAAGAACATTGGCATACAAGTTAACATTGTTTTCTCGACGAGATACCAAATCTGCGACACATTATGTTACGATTATTGCTACCCATATTGCTAAGTACGTCGACTCTGCCATTGATTAATTCTATGAAAATGGTTATGAATTTTGACGTCAATCGATATTAATCATAGAGAGAGAAAGAAAGAGAGAGAGAGAGAGAGAGAGAGAGAGAGAGAGAGACGGGGGGAGAGAGAGAGAGAGAGAGAGAAAGGGAGAAAAAGAAAGAGAGATTCTGAATTGTAGTAAATTTGAGGAAAAAGGAGTAAAAGAAAAAAAGGATAAAATGAAAAAAAAAATATGTAGAAACAAAACAAAATAAATATAATTATTTTGCATGTGATGTTAATCGCAGTATATGTTACATATGTTACTTGCATTTTCTGTTTTTTTTTTTTCTCTTTTTTTTAACAACAGTCGTGACGAGATAATAATATCCTCGTATATATAGATAAATATATATATATATATATATATATATATTCATATACTATTCTCGATCATATTTAAATGCCGCGTTTAATGAGATATTATTAATCGATCGATTTTGATTAATGTTATAAATAAATAAATAAGACAGACAGATAGACACACACACGCACACGCCATTCCAATTTTTTTTTTCCTTTTCTTTTCTTTTTCTTCCCCTTTTCTTTTCTCTTTTTTCATCTTTTTTTCTTCTTCTTCTTCTTCTTCTTCGTTTCCATAGGGGGCATAGAAAAAAATAAATACGTTCTTATATAATCTTCGTTAATTAGATTCAATGATAAGTCTTGGATTAACTTTGGTCTCGCGTAATCTTTTTTTTTTTTTTTTTTTTTTTTGTTCATTTGTTTGTTCGTTTGTTATTAAACGATGATCGCCGTATATAAACGATTATTAAAGTAGTTCCTCGTTATCATCCGATATACCATACATTTGTGGTCTTCTTTCTTCTTGTTGATTTTGTTGTTGTTGTCTCTGTATAGCCTGTTGCTTTTGAAACAACGCGATACTGGCAGCTTTATAATTGATAGGCCCGTATGAACGATAATCTACATCGGCATAATCCAAATCAGAAAATCCCGGACTGAAGGCCTATATGCAATATGGAACGTTACACGTATCCCAAAATAGAATAAAATATTTACAGGATGTCCAAAAAGTATAGGATCGAATTTTTATAAACTTTCTTTATATACTTTTTAGACATTATCATACTTCTTGAACACCCCGTATATGTGTATACATAAATATATGTATATATATACATATATATATATTTATGAGAAATTGGACCAATACCTTATTAGGCGGCGCTTGTATACCATGAAACGGTAAATTTTCGTAAAACGTTTTTGTTGTACCGTCCGCCATTGTTTCCGTCATATTATTTGCCTGATTATTGTTACCATTTTCATTAGAGTCTGAAAATATTCGAAAGTATCGATTTTATTTAATATTGTTTAAATTTCACATATGGATACAAATGTGTGCCATTAATTATTACATTGAATTAAGTTATTTATACATATATATATATATATATATATATATGCGTATATACGTATGTATTTGTGTTACTTGTACGTTAGTATAATCATTCATATTGAGACAGATATTATTTAAACGTTTGATCTTTCTTTGTAATGAAAAAAATTAAAAAATTTTTTTATTATTGATTACCTATGTTAAAAAAAAAAAAAAAAAAAAAAAGAAATACTTTTCGAAATACTTATTTACTTACTGTTATGACAATTGTTTTTATTTAATTAGAAATTCTTACGAGTATCGCATAAAAATAAATAATTTTTTTTTTATTAAATATTTCAATATCAATTGAATTACTATTGTAACGATAAATATTTTTATTTTGTAAGGAAAAAATTTTTAATTAAAATTTTAAACGACCAAAACGAAATGAAATGAATCGTGTCAATTAATTTTGTTCCTTCTTCTAGTTTTTCGACTTTTATCCAACGTCATAATTAATCAGCATATGTATACATATATATATATATATATATATATATATAAAGACTTACATTTGATTTGCTTCCTTTTACGTCTGCAAATTATTAATATAACTACACAGACGATAATTATCGCAAGTATTATAATAATCGATACGATTATTGCAATCAGTAACAGGTTACCATCCATACGATACCACCAGGGTACATCTCCTGTAAATAAAGAAATAGAAAAAAAGAAAAGGTAGAAAAAAAAAGAAGAAAAACAAACAAAGAGAAAAAAAAAAGAAAAAAATGACACAGAAACGAATGTACAAGTTTCTTTTTCTTTTAATTATTACGAATTCGTCCAAAAAAAAAAAAAAGAAAAAAAAAAGAAAAAATAGAAAGACAGGAATATAACATAGGAGATAATCCATTCATTTAATATATGTACAATGAATTTTTATTTGGAAATAAAATAAACAAACAGAAAAAAAAAAAAAAAAAAGAAAAAAGAAAAAAAAATCAAAAAATCTCTCTCACCGGTTATATCCAACTCGCATGCGGTAGATTGGCCGATTGAATTGTTGGCAATGCACACGTACGTTCGAAATTTCGTGATTGAAGTATCTAAAAGTACATAGCTTATCCCGTCCTCTATCTTGAAATCTGGCTCTATCGTTTCGTTGTCATTTTCTACGGACCAGATAAAATTGATTTCTTCTGGATTTCCAATTGCCGAACAGCTGATATAATCCTGATCCTTCAATCGTTCCCGCTGTATGTGACAGTCAGGCTTAACTGCATGCAAAAAAGTATGAAGGAGAAATTTTTGTAACGAGCTTCGAACGAAATATTCCAAACGAAAAGCATCGAGCGACGTTGTAGAAAAATAAAAAAAAAAAGAAAAAGAAAAAAAAAAGAAAAAAAAAAAATAGAAAGAAAAAACGAAAAAACAAAAACAAAAGAGAAAAACAAGAAAGAAGAGCAACATAAACGGAAAAGGAAAATAAAAGTATAGATAAAAATAAAAAAAGAGAAGGGTATGAAATAAAGTCATAAGAAAAGGAAATAGGAATAGGGGAAGGATTGGGAGGTAAAGTAGAGATAAAAATAAAAAAACAAAAAAGAAAACAAAACAAAAGAGGGGAATAAAGTAAAATTAAAAGAAAAGGAATGGGAAAGGATTGAGAGATAAAATAAAATATAAATATCAAATATAAATATAAATATACAGTTAAAAAAAAATATATATGTATGTATATATATATATATATATATATATATATATATACATACATATATATTTTATATATATTATATATTATATATATATATATATATATATAAAATAAAATAAGTACATTGCACGTTCACCACAAGCGAAATATTTTGTTTCCCATGATGATTCGATGCCTCGCAATAATAAGTCCCATTGCTACGCCTTGGTATAGGTGTATTTAAATCGAGTATTTGTCCTTTTATTATAGTATCGTTCGAACCCTCGCGGAACCATCTGAAGGTCGCGTTTGGATAAGCCTTTGCGTCGCAACTGACAGTTTCCGGTATAGTGTCCACCGTCACGTTTATTATCTTCTTCGAGATCGTCATGTTCTCCGGTGGGACTAAACGATAATTAAATAATTAAGAAAAAAAAAAAAAAAAAAAAGAAAATAATAAAAAGAAATTAACGACGTTGTATTAGTCGTGACGATTAAAATTTACGAATGTGTACGATTGAAATAAAAAGGAAAAAAAAAGAAAAAAAAAAAAAGAAAAAAAAATTATATAAATACATAAATAAATAAATAAAAAAAAAAAAAAAAAACAAAAAAAAAAGGGAAAAGAATGAAAAATACACACACACACACACTTACATTCTACGTGAAATTGCGTGGTACTTTCTATGGGTTTTCCAATACCATTGTCACTGCTTTTACAAGTGAATTTGGCGTCATCGTCGGTATGATCGAGACGGCCATTTGCCAATGCAGTCAAGTTCCATGTTAAATTAGATTGTATACTTGCAAAATAATTCCTCTCATAATCCAACGGCATATAACTGTTCGTTAGATAATAACGATCGGTCGTATCGAAATCGATCAATTGATCGTTTCTATACCAAGATACATTACAATCTGGAACGCACTCGATCCAACAAACAAGGCTAACGTTTATCGAATTGTAAACGAATCCTTGATAATTCTCTAGAGCTTGAATGAACGTAGGTGCCACTGAATGAAAAAAAGAAAGAAAAAAAAAGAAAAAAAAAAGAAGAGAAAAATAAACAATTGATTTGTATTATTCATTCGAATTAAATAAATCCCATATGTCACATAATTTTCTAACGCTATATATATTTATGTGTTAATCCGTTCAACGAGACGAATTAGGAGACTTAAAAAAAAAGAGAAAGAAAAAAAAATAAAACTCCCATCGATCGATTATAAAATTCAAAAACGAATTTATACATAACTTATATAGATCATTGTTAACGATTTTACTTTTTTGATTTTATCATTTATTAGAAAAAATATTATACGTATAAATTATTATTCGATTATCATGATTAAAGCATTATTTCGTTATGTTTATAACGTGATATCTTTTTAAATAATACAAATGGAACATTTTATATAGTTCGAACGGATTAATTAATTATAAAAAATTACCTGATACATCAATCGACGTTGTAGCAGGATATCCATCACCTGCATCGTTCGAAGCCATGCACGTAAAATTAGCGGCAACCTTAACGTCGGCCGATTCGATATCGAGTAAAGAATTGGTTTGATCGGTTAGCCTGTACAAATCGCGAAACCATTTGAAACTATTTATTATTGGTCGCCCAGGATCAAGGACCGAACAGGCAATAGTTAGTCGTTGTCCTTTCACAACTTCTTTCGGTTCGTAAGATATTGTAGCTGGACCAGGTTTATCTATTGGATTTTTTTATATGTATATATGTATCGGTGTTTGATCTCATTCAGAATCGATTTGACAAAGAAATAAAGAGAGAGAGAGAGAGAGAGAGAGAGAGAGAGAAAGAAAATAAAATAAAACCGTACAATAAATCGTGACCGATGTACTCGGAGACATGGGACCCCAGCCAGCTTCGTTTCTACCCTCGCAAGAATAATCCCCATGAAAGGAACGTCCAACAGCTTCCAATAACAGTTTGCTAGGGTCAATGTCGCAAATACTCGAGGATTCTTCGGTTAACGTTGACGTTATCGTATAGTTCATCGTACAATCTGGAAGTTCTTTTAAAAGGTCACCATCCAAGTACCAACGTACAGCCGTTAGGATCTCCGGATTTCCAGATAGTACTGTGCAACTCAGCGACACGTTCAAACGTTCTTCCTCGTTCACCGGGGTCCCTGGATCCGATATCACTTCGACCACAGGTTTATCTAAAGAAAGTGCATGAGAATGAACGACGTTAAATTTTCTGTTTTCTATGTTACCGTAAATACACACACATGTCTATGTATTTATATATACTTACATAAGTACAACTATACGTATCTGTATCTATGTAACTACATATATATATATATATATATATATATGTATATATGATAGTAGTTCAAACGCGTATACATGTAACTATTACGTATGTATAGATCTCTGTACTCACATAAAACGGACACATTTACGTTCTCCTTCGAGCTCGTAGAGCCAACGCTATTCTCTAAAATGCATTTATAGGAACCCATATCGGTAGCGGTAGCATTCTTTACGATTAATGCGGTATTAACCGTGATACCACCTTCGTAATGTTCCTCGTCCAATGTTAACTCTAGATCGTCTTGTAACCTGGTAAGAAAAAGGTAAGGTAAACAAAAGAAAAGTGATTATTCATTTATTATTCACCCCTCTTGTTTCCACACCCGCCCATCCCCCACCGCCCAACCTCCAACCATCCCGCTGTTTTGCGCGCAGCTTTACGAACAAATAACGTGATATCTTTTGTCAGACTTCATTCAGACGTTCCTTTACATATTTTTCCTTTTTCCCTCGTCCCTTTCTTTCTCCCTTTTTTTCTTCATTTTCTCTCTCTCTCTCTCTCTCTTTCTCCCTTTCTGTCTCACTCTCTCTCCTTTATTTTGTCCTTTTCCTTTTCTTTTCTTTCTATTTTTTTTCTTTTTTTTTTTTTTTCTTTTTTAATTGGAATCCTATACCTCAAAGGATAAGAACTTGCCATTGTAATTTTGTACAAACTACGTTGGCCCCTTTTACAAACAAATTACAATTCTTTTTTTCTTTCTTTCTTCTCTCTCTCTCTCTCTCTCTCTCTCTCTCTCTCTCTCTCTCTCTCTCTCTCTAGCTTTCTTACTCACACCTCGCCCCTCCCCCTCCCGTTTTCCTTTATTCTTTGATTTCGAAGCAAAGCGCGAAGAAGTAAAAGTCGGGAATAAACAACGAATATAAAAATATGTTTTCCTTTTTTCATTTCTCTTTTTTTCTCTTTTCCTACCTCTCTCTCTCTCTCTCTCTCTCTCTCTCTCTCTCTCTCTCTCTCTTCACTGTTTGATAATGAAGCGGGCCTTTAAAAGAAATGAATACATCGTAGTGTTTGCGTGGGTAAGTTGGTGTTAAGAGAGGGAGGATAGAAGAGGTGTACCTGTGAAGGGGTGAGAGGGAGGAAGAGGAGGGTTAAGAAGAACGAAAGTAAAGAAAAGAAAAAGTAAGACAGAGAGAGAGAGAGAGAGAGAGAGAGAGAGAGAGAAAGAAAGAAAGAGAGAACGAGAGAGAAAATGAGAAACATCGCTCTCCTGGCCTCCTTTCGTCGAAAGAGAGCCAGTTACGTTTTACCTACACATTTTACGGAATTGTATAGAAGGACTAATGAATATTTTTACCATTTACTTGTTACCACCGTTGAAAGGGAGCTTTGTGAAAGTAAGAGAGAAAGAGAGAGAGAGAGAGAGGGAGGGAGGGAGAGAAAAAAAGGGAAGGGCTGGTTTTGAATTAAGGTCAACTCGTCGTTGGCAGATGGATGAATCGATAGGGATCATTGATACCACGAATGAACGGACTAACGTACGAACGAACGAACGAAGATTGCGAAACGTTTTGGAACGATCATTAAAAAAATAAAAAAAATAAAAAACAAGGAAAAGAAGAAGAAAAGAAATAGACGGAAAAGAGAGATAGATAGATAGAGAGAGAGAGAGAGAGAGAGAGAGAGAGAGAGAGAGAGAGAGAGAGAAGAAAGAAAGATAGAAGGGAGAAAGAGAAGGACGAAAAAATTTATTTGTTTCGTATAGAGAGAGAGAGAGAGAGAGAGAGAGAGAGAAAAGAAAAACAAGAGGATAAACAAATAACTAATATACTAATAAACTAATAAAAAATGTATAATAATAATAATAACAACAATTTTTATTACCCGTCTATAGCTCCGTATCTCTACATCCCTCACCATCACCTTTGATTTTCGAAGACGCCAAAAACTCCATATATATATATATAAATATATATATACACATATATATATATATATGTATGTACACAATATATATATATATATATATATATATATATATATATATATATATAATCGTAAAGCCCAAAGTGCCAATTAGTTCGTAGGATGATATCGTTTCGAAGTGTAAAGCGAACGAAGTAGATCGGATTGAAGGGTATGTAGCGGATAGGGTGATGGTGGGGTAAAGGGAGGGGGAAGGAGGATGATGTATTACAAGAGTAAGGGAGAGAGAGAGAGAGAAAGACTGAGAATAAAGCGGAAGATAGAAGGGAGTAACGGATACAAAGGACGAGAGAATGAAAAGTAGATAGTACAGGGATAGTGGTACAGGGGGTGGAGGAGGGTTAGAGGGAGAGGGGGAAGGATGGTGAGTGGGTGATAGGTAGGGAGAAAGACAGGATGAAAGGATGTGAAAAGGCTAGAGAAATTTATTATGTCCTGGGACGGATTCCTCTTTTTAGCTTCCGACGAAAGAGGTGCATTAGTAATGCTAAAGATCAGCTAGATATGTTAGCTAAGGGTAGACTATTATAGCTAGCATTGTGATTATGATGATTATGATGATGACGATGGCGAGGACGACGACGACGACAATGATAATGATAATGATAATGATTATGATGATGATGATGATGATGATGATAATGGTAATGGTGACGACGAGGACGACAAGGAGAATTATGTTTTGACGATGGTGTTATTATTAATCTATGTAAAATTTAAACAAAAAAGTAATAATTTACCATGTAACTTTGGTCAATGTGATTGGATTAGCCTCGTAATCGCAATAAATAATAAAATCATCCGTTTCATTGACGGTTATGTTGATCGGTCTCATATTAATTATCGGTGGATCTGTGAAATTGATCAAGATTTGATATTAAGTGTTCGATGGGCGCCACTTAAACGGATAAACGTTAAACACGATACAGATCGATATACGTAAATGCATTGCATATATGCGTGGCATTAATTATTTTCCTTTTTTTTTTTTTCTTTTCCTTTCATTTTTTCTTTCTTTTTTTTTTTTGTCCGTACGTACACTGCACCCGTAAATATATATTACTTACATAATACTTTGATCGTGATTACTTCCTTCATTGGTTTTAGACGTTTGGTACGTATAACAGGATTTTCAGCGATACAGCTAAACGTTTTCCCATTTTCGTATGCCGATGCGGTAAATGCAAGATAGCTTATAGTTTTTGACGTACTGTCGTTCTACGAACAAAATAAATCCGCGCTTAAGTCATGTAATCCGGTCAAATCATACATGTGCTATGTATGTACGTTTTGTAAATATAAACGCGAGAAGATATTTTTTATATTCTGCTCTATATATATATATAGAGTATAGTATAAAGTACAATATACATATATATATATATATGTATATTGTACTTTATACTTTCCCGGTTAATTTGAATTGTGCTTCAAATAACATACGAGTAACGTGCCAAATATAATGAAGATCGACATTTAATATCCTTTCGATATTTTTTTTTTTGTCGGGAATTTTTTCTTCTTTTCCTTTTTTTTTTATTATTTTTTTGATTTATTTATTTTTTTGATTTATTTTTTATTTTTATTATTATTTTATTTTATTTTATTTTATTTTATTTTATTTTTTTTTTTTTTTTTTTTTTTTTGTACATATCTCTCTTTTAATATGAATACATTAATATTTCACGTTTAAAGGATGGAAATTCTGCGATATTTCACTCTCCGACGACTACTCTCATAACTCACCCCCTTCTCATCGGATAACGATCAGCAGCAGTTAAAAAAACGATCGATTAGATATTTCTCCTTTAGGAATTCTAATTTATTGAATTAGAAATAATAGATCGTGTATAATTATAATCTATTTTGCTTTTTATTATTACAATTATTATTATCCTTAGTTTCTTATTTTTTGTTTTGTTTTATCTTGGAAATATTAGCAGCCAAGCGATAAACGAGAAACAGAGATTAATAGTAATTGAAAAGAGAGTAAAAAAGGAGAATTGGATATACTAAAAAAAAAAAAAAAAAAAAAAAAAAAAATGAGAATTTTATACGGACACTTACATTTTCAAATATTTTCGTCTCAAATAGTTCGTATTTTTCGTTACTGATAGTCAATGGTTCCGATCCATTGTACCAAGTCACATTGGCAGCTGGTCTAGCTGAACTTACGGTACATTGTAATAATATCTTTGTTCCTTGCACAGCGTGACCGACCACTCCGCTCAAATCCATTTTTAATGGGCGCACTAAGGAAATAATGATAAAATTGTGCGTATGAAGAAATGTATTATGTAAAATATATAAATAAAAATAGATAGAAAGAAGAAAGAACGAGGGTGTATACGTATACAAAAAAGAAAAAAAAAGCGCACACACACACACACGCACACATACAAAAGAGTACATACAAAGAAAATATATAGTAGACTTACCGTGAATATCGAGTTTAATGTCGTCAGTGATGGGTTCTAGAAGTGCAACGCTGTTGACCTTGCACGTGAAAATATCGCCGAGCTCCTCACGAGTCACTTGCATCTTCAATGAGCTACTACCGGTGCCTATGCCATTGGCGTCAATAGTTGATGATGCTACGGCTAAAAACATAATTAATGAAAATGATTAGAGTACTCATACTTTGATAGTATGTAATAGTTACCTTCAATCTCTTTCCCTTATCGATGAACACGCGCTACCGTGACACATTTTCTTTGATAGGATATCTACTTACCTACTCTCTCCATATATATATATATATATATATATACATATGTATAGGTATAAAGTATATATATGTACAGATAGAAAGTATATATATATATATATATATATATATATATATATATATGTGTAGACACATATGCAGATATAGATACAAAGTAAACTCCGCGAACGTAATCAGGATTAAGAGAATATTCTTGGTCGACCCTAAGGTACAGTTAATTCCTTCGTACATGTTACGTTAATCGCGTTAAGTCGCGAAGAGCCGAGGTCGTCTTCTAACTAATCGACTTCTCCGCACCCCCATAACGCTTTGGCTCGAGAGAGGGAAACTTCTCTTGAACGACGCGTAACACTAACTTTTCTCATCATACGTTACCGCAGTCTCTTAGCCTGTCCTTATCGACTCTTGTAAGTACCTATCCTATCCATGTACTTCAAATCTTAGACTAGCCTTCTCACTCTCTCTTTCTCTCTCTCTTTCTCTCTCTATTCTTTTTTTATCAACGATTTCAGTTATTACTATTATTATTATTATTATTATTATTATTATTATTATCGTTGTACTTAATATCATTATTATTATTATTATTATTATTATTATTATTATTATTATTATTATTATTATTATTATTATTACTATTATAACTCCTCTCAATCGTTAATCACGTACCCAGTTTCCAGGCACCCTCTTCCCCTATCCAATCCCCACTTTTCAACCGTTTAGAACCAGTAGCAGTCGATTACGTTCTCGTTCTCGTTAGATCAAACAACTCGCTTACGATTAGTTGGAAGAAGTATAAGAAAAGAAAAAAAAAAAAAGAAAAAAAAACAGAAAAAAAAAAATAAGAACGAAAGAAGAAAAAGAAATTCGTAATAATTTCAAATCGAAGATGATCCAAAGGGAAAAATTTCTTCTTTAAAACGTTCTTACGTCCTTTGTTTAAAAGTTTTCGAAAATTCAATCCTATCCATCCATCCATCCATCCATCCATCCATCTATCTATTATTTGAAATTACTCGTTTATTATCGTTGTCTCGTTAACGCTCGCTAAAGATTAGCGAACCAATCGACGTTCCATTAGAAGAAAACGAGATTGGAAACTTACCTTCGAGCTGTTGATCACCCTTAAACCACTGCACCGTGGGAACCGGTCTACCCTCGCCACTCTGGCAAGTCAGTGAAATAGTTGAACCTTCGTCTATCGGTCCAAATGTTGCATCCGGACTTAAAATGTTCTTTGTGTTCTCGTCGATGACATGTACGTTAACGGGTTTTACTGAAATAAAAGCCGGTAAAGGGATTAAAATGAAGCAGCTGTAGATATTTCTTTTTCACCCCTTTTTTTACCTCATTCGTTCTCTCTTCCACCCTCTTTCTTCCACCCTCTCTCTCTCTCTCTCTCTCTCTCTCTCTCTCTCTCTCTCTCTCTCTCTCTCTCTCTTGTTCCTTTCATTTTGGCCCCGATCGCGACGAATAAAAAGAGAAAAGAAAGAAAGAAACTTCCGAAGGTAAAGTGGAAAAATCGAAGAGTTAGGTAGGTAGGTAGGTAGGTAGGTAAAGCGTTGCACGTGGCCTAAATAAAAAAAAAAATAAAAAAAAAAAAAAAAAAAAAAATAAAAAAAGAAAAGGTACCGGAGCCCGAACAAGCAAGCACCTCGAAAATAATGTTAATTAACTTATTTCATTTTTGTAAAGATGAAGTTAAAATAAATGAGCGCGATGTGGTTTTTCTTTTCTTTCCTTTTCTTCTTCTTCCTCTTTTTTCTTTTTTTCTTTCTTTTTCTTTTCTTCTTTTCTCTTTTTTTTCTTTTCTTTTTTTTTTTCTTTTTCTTTCTTTTAAGATATTAACGTATACGAAACCATAAATGAGATGAAATGAAATTAGATAGTCGTTGCTTAAAATAAGTAGGTTACCGCCGATAAGAGATAATAGGGTCTATTTTACGATATAACACCTGGCAATAATGTAATGGACGATATTAGACGTGTCGAACGTAGTATACCTATTAATGAAAAATCGAACGTTCTAGATTTCGATGGATTTTCGAATGAGGGAGAAGAAAAGAAAAAGAAAGAGGAGAAAAAAGGAGACAGAGGAAAAAAAAACATCAGAAACATAAAAAAGTTCTAAATGAGACATACAAATACATTATACGTGCGCGCGCGCGCGCACACAAACACACGTATACGAACTAACACGCAGACACACATAGAAATCCAAGATTATTATCAAGGATATCGAACTTACTCGTAACATTAAGTGTTACGTGTTGAATATTATTGCAATCCAAATTTCCAGCTGAGTATACAGTTTCGCATCTGTAAAGTCCTTCGTCCTTAAGTTTAACATCGATCATTTTCAGATAAGCGGTAGTAGAATTGAGCATATATTCGATGTCCAATCTGAAAGATAATTGTCGAATAAATAATAAATATTCTACATGATGCCGATATATAACGATGATAAATAATATTCGATGGGATTAATTATTGGATATGACGATCACGAAAGAAGATCGTTCATTATAATATAATAAAGGACAACGGATGGCTTAGGAATAAAGAGGTAAAGTAAAAGCAGTAGTTGGATCATTAATTGGAACAACGATCGGTCTAGGTACGACCTTTGATGTTCGTGCTCCGAAACGGCTTAATTGTCGGCCATAAGGAGGGAGAAAGCGAACGAAGAATTAAGTTAGAAATCCTCCTTTCACCTTCTCCCTTCCTCCCTCCCTCACTCCCTCCCTCCCTCTCTCTCTCTCTCTCTCTCTCTCTATCGCATTTTTCTTATTCTTTTTATTCCTCTTCTTCTTCTTCTTTTGCACCCCTTGCAAGCAGTAATGGCAGGAAAGAGAGAAAGAGAGAGTGAGAGAGAAAGAGAGAGCCGTTGATAAGTACCAACACCAACAGGAGTAAAACCACTACCAACGTCACCACCACCACCACCTCCACCACCACCACCACCACCACCATCACCACCACCAATACCACCAGCAGCAGCAGCAGCAGCAGCAGCAGCAATAGCAGCAGCACTAGTAGAGGTAGCAGTAGCAAGGGCAAGAACGAACGGTAGGTACTTTTCGAGAAAGCTAGCAACGTGAGCAGGCTAGGCGGTGTAAATGAAGCGGCCCTATTTCAGAGCACGAACGTTCGATTCTCCTAATAATTAGAAGCTAAGTCTCTCTCTCTCTCTCTCTCTCTCTCTCTCTCTCTTTCTTTCACTCTCTGTCCTCTACCCAACCCCACCCCATCCCATTTTCTACCCATGCTTTAATACAAAATTACGAGGATGCACTGTGGGTGTATGTGTGTAAGTGCATTACCGGTGACGATTATCGAATCAAAGGAGAACCATTAAAGAAAAGAAAAGAGAAACCTTTCGTGTGACGTATAATAAGGCAATAAATGGAATACGAGCTGGTACATACATATATATATATATATATGTATGTATGTATGTATGTATACATATATGAATGTATGTATATATAATCTCTAACACGATTTGAAACCCTTCACCCCTTCTATAAAGAGCCACCCCTTCCATACAGAACCACCCACTCGCACTCGTAACCCTTCGGTCACTCATCGATCGCCTCGCCCATAACTCAATCATTTCGGCCAATTGGCCTGGATTGTACCACGTGCTTCCTCCTATTCTCATTCCCTTATCCTCTTGTTTTCCCGTTCGACATGCATATTCTCTCTGTCACCGGGTTACAATCACACCGTTCTCCTACCGATCCTCCATGATTTCGATTAGCAGCACCAACAGCCACCCTCACAATGACATTGAGGAATATTTCATATATATATACTCGCACATACACATTAATATATTTATATATATATATATGTGTGTGTGTGTGTGTGTGTGTGTGCATAAATACGCAAATAGAAAGGAAAAGAGGATCCTTCATTCTGCTTGCAGTTTATATCTGTGTTTCTCTAATTATATGTCACGTTATGTGATCCCGATGTCTGCAGCTATTCTCTTATCATCCTCTTGCCTTTGTTATTTGTCCTTTTTTTTCTTTTTCTTCCCCTCTCTCTCTCTCTCTCTCTCACTCACTCCTTTTTTATTTTTTATTCCTTCTTTTTGATTCGTTTCCCTATTCCTTTTTATATCCTCTTTTTCTTTCTTTCTTTCTTTCTTCTCTCTCTCTCTCTCTCTCTCTTCTTTTTTTTTCTCGTTCCATCATTTTCGTCATTTCAACTTTTCCACCCTGGCACCCAGAACCAACCAGGTCTTTACGCGTACAGCTTATTAATAGGAACTCGGTCCCCGATGTTAAATTATTAAATCTAATTACTTATTCACCTGTCGTCACTGCTGGCTACGCCGTCGTTGCTCCGCATTAACCCCGTGCCTTCGCTGAAAGCGAAAATGCGCGTACCCGCGCGATACCAGTCGATGCTTTGAAGTGCCCCGCACTGTGGTGGTTTTAGGATGCATGGCAGTAGCACTTCCGTTCCAACTTCCGCATATTTCTCACTTTCAAGCCATGCCTCGGTTGTTCCTGAAAATAGAAAATCGAAAAGAAAGAAGAAAAAGTTATATTTAAGGGAGCGGGGGGAAAGAAAAAAAAAGAGAAAAGTCAGAGAGAGAGAGAGAGAGAGAGAGATAGAAAAAAGAAGAGATAAATAAATAAATAAAATAAAATAATAATAATGATAATAGAAGGATATAGACAGAAATGATAACAACAGCGACAACGACGGCGACGACAGTGGAAAAGATTTTTAAAAAACAGAACTAATAGTAGGGAAGAGAGAGAGAGAGAGAGAAAGGGAAGAATAGTATTAAAAAAACATTTCTTATTATTAATGAGACGAAAGCAAAGCAAAGCTTTCGTTTTCTTTTTTTTTTTCTTTTCTTTTCTTTTCTTTTCTTTTCTTTTCTTTCCTTTCATTTTTTTCAACTTACTCTCAGAACCGTCACGCGAATGCTTCGTTCACTCTCTTTTTTCTCAAATAAAATTTTCCTCTTTCATATTATATACACTATGTACATCTCTCTCTCCATCTCATATATATATATATGTGTGTGTGTGTGTGTATGTATACGCGCGCTCAAGTATTTTTCTACTTATATATGTGTATTGGTATATATGTATCCATGTATGTACACCGAGTTCACGCATTTTTATTACAAATTACTCTCTCTTCTCTAGTCATGCATACGCTTATATGTATATATATATATATTATATATATTATATATATTATATATATTATATATATTATATATATATATATTATATATTATATATACTATATGTATATAAGAGGTAAAAGAAAAACACAATGAATTCTCGTTGAAACGCTTTCAGCAAGGAAGCAAAATTCGGACGGCAGGCAGGACGATGCGAACATCCGACTTGTAACGTCCGCTCTTAATTAATATTAACGTGTGAACTTGAGCCAAGAATAAATATTTCCATACGAAGTCAACCTGCTTCCTACCACTAAATGAGTCTAACTAACAGTTACGTATGTATATACATACGTATATATTTATTATATATATATATATATATGTAAGTATATATGTATGTATGTATGTATAATAAACTGTGCCAAAGTATCACACCCTTATCTCTACATACATTCATACATACGTATATACATACGTATTTACGAGTTACATTGTTTTCAACTTTTTCTCATTATCGTGTATTATAAATAATTATGAAATAAAAAACGAGTGAAAGAGAGAGAGAGAGAGAGAAAGAAGCGAGACAAAAAATCGACATATGTATCTCTTACTTTACTCTCTTCGTTTATTTTTTGTTCATACCTCTTTAATTCTCTCTATTATAAGAACAGGATTTTTCAACAATTTTTGTCAAGAATATCCAATAAATTTATTTTAGATATAATATAAAATATACAATAATATGATAGAATGAAGAACAATCACTATATTATATAAACATATATATATATTTTTTTAATACAATTAAATAATAATACAATTAAAGCGTATATATATATATATATATATATATTATCGTGTAACACGAAGGAACATTTAACAAAAAATTATCTGATATTAATATCGTAGAAATTTAATTGTCTATTAACCTTTTAATCGATCTATTAAATTATTATTTAATTATGAAAATTTTATAAGTAAAATAAATTTTTCATCGTACAAAATTATTCGAACTTATTGAATTGAGAAATTCTCGATAATAAATATATATATATATATATATATAAATAGATAAATTGAACGCGAACATTATTTTAATTTAGGATTGGATATAAAATTTCTTGAATTTATAAACAAACGTTGATATGCCATTGTCTTAGGTTTACATACGAAAGGTCAACAATGTCTCCCTTGATTTTCATTCCTTCCTGGTAGAAGCAACAGGCCGCGTATGGATATGCAGAGAGCAGTGAACAGATAAACGACGATGCTTTACTACAGTTAAGAGATATATACATATGTCGAGAATACAAAATGAGAAATGTTCTCTCTCTATCTATCTCTCTCTCTCTCTCTTTCTTTTTCTCTTTTACCTTCTCTCTTTTGTACCCATGAATGAGCAATATCAAACACGTGTTTGATATCTTTGACCGTGTTTCGTGTGATTTTCTGTGGTCGTTCATAAAAAAAAAAAAAAGAAAAAAAAAAAAAGAAAAGGAAAAGAAAAAAGGAGAAAAAAAGAAAAGGAAAGAAAAAAGAAGTACAAGAAATGAATGCGTCAAAATGAAGACTTCTCTAATGTGTTCCACGAGAAAAAAGATGTTATATATTCACATATGATTATTTATTTATTTTATTTTATTTTCACTTGTAAAAATTATTATCTATCAGTGACAACGCGCTAATGCATTTACACAAATGATGAAGTTATATATCTCGAGGGACTTTAAAAAAAAAAAAGAAAAACAAACAAAACCGTACGTAAGAGCAAACAAATAAAAGTAAATAAATAAATACATAATTAAATAAATAAATAAATAAATAAATAAATAAATAAATAAATAAATAAATAAATAAATAGATTATATATACGTACACACATTATCGTCTTTGTTTCGGCTTGATGCAACCGTTAAAAACGGTTTCAGAGTAACCCGAAATATAGGTCAGAGACTATTTTCAGATCACGCGATCATATTATCATTCCTGTATATTTCAACGATATGAGATCATTGTGCTTCGTTCTCTCTCTCTCTCTCTCTCTCTCTCTCTTTATCCGATTCTCTATTTTTGATATTCTTTTTAAAGTTACAAACTTGATTCGAAGAACATGGTCTATGTACATACATACGAAACGATTCTTGAATCATTTATTTTGTCATTTCGATGAAAAAAGAAATATATATATGTATATATATACATTGATAGAATTTGAAATTATTTCCATTAGAAAATATTGAAAGTTCGAATAATGAATTATAATATTCCGATCGTGGATTGATTCAATTAACGGACCCGTGAAATTTTTTAATGAATTAAAATAACCTTAGAGATCTAAATGAAATATGCGATCAATGATAATTTCATGAGGATGATGACGACGACGACGAAGACGACGACGAAGACGACGACGAAAACGAACGATGATGATTCAAATGATAATTATTCAAAGATGAATTATTCACGTTGAATATTTCTTAAGTTACGTAGAGAATCGCATTAGGAAAATTTCGACTTTAACGCATCCAAATAACCGGCTCGAAACTTCAACGTTTATCTATTTCTATTTTCGTATTCAAGTGCGATGCTGACAGTAGGTAGAGTTCGCGGCGCGATCTTCGAAAGATCTTTTGCAGCGGTTACATGCAGCTCTATACGAAGGCAGCGGCGGCAACCACAGTTTCCTTCCTTCGGGGCTGCATCAATTCAGACGCTTACATCAGAGTTACCACGGAGCCGTTCTAAGAATAATCAAGTTCGCCGTACCCGAAGCGCATTCCGTGACTTTCACACCGCTTCGTATTTCATAATCTTATTGTCCAGGAAAACCGAACTGAGTATTAACTTTTGTTTCCATTTTTTTCTTTACTTTTTTTTTTTTTCCCTTTCTTCTCTTGCTTTCTTTCTTCCCACAAATATATTCCAACCGAACAATTTTCTCTAACAATAACAATAACAATAACAATAACAATAATAATAATAATAATAATAATAATAATAATAATAATAATAATAATAATAATAATAATAATAATAATAAGTAGATTGACAGATAGATAGATAGATAGATAATAACAAATGTTAAATATTTTTTTGAAAAATTATTCTCTAACAATAATAATATTAGACAGATAGATAGATAGATAGATAATAATAGTAAATGATAAATATTTTCTAGAAAATTTTCTCCCATTCGATATTTCTTATATCTCTCCTTTTCTTTATTAAATTATATAATAATAATAATGTTAATAATAATAGAAAAATTATATAAAAATGTATTGGAAAAAATTTCGAACGCTTCGTTCATCCTTATTTGAGTATTTTACGAAAACAAAAATAAAATCTAGTTATTCGAAAATATTTCGTAGATAATATTTTTTTTTTAACTATAATGATACCGGATAGACAGATTGATAGACAGATAGATCGATAATAATAAATGATTAATATTTTCTAGAAAATTTTTTTCCTTATCCAATATTTCTTATTTCTTTCGTTCATCTTAATTAATATAATAATAATAATAGAATTATTAGAATCAGAATATTTAACGAAAAATATCAAATCACTCTTATTTGATTATTTTAGTAAAATTAGAGGTAATCCAATTATCCAAAAATATTTCATATTATTTTAAACTAATCTTTTTTATATTATAATAATAGATAGATCGATAAATGAATTTTTTTGAACGTTTATTTCCATCGTAATTTCAATTTTTCTTACAATCTCTCTTAACAAAAAAAAAAAGAAAAGAAAAAAGGATAATAATAATTGGCAATAAATATTCTACACAAGAAGATTTCAAACGCTTTCATCGCTCTTATTAAATTATTTTACGAAAATATTACACATACACACACAAGCACTCACACAAATTCCTCTAAGAATAATAATAATAATAATTATATCATTATCAGAAGTGAACAAATTCTTTTTTTCCTAATATTCTTTTACGATCGATATTTCAATTCCTCTCTCAGTGTCTTTCTTAAGTGAACATAACAAGAATAATAATTGGTATTAAAAAGTTAAAAAAAAAAAAAAAAAAAGAAAAAAGAAAAAAAGAACGCACAGAAAAATAGAAAAAAACAAAAAAACATAGAAAAAGAATAAAGAAAAGGAAGAAAATTTCAATTGGGATCGTTCACCGAAACCGATTATATTATTATCTAACAAATGAAATGTAATTTAATTAATTCTTCGTTATGTAATTACATTTCAAAGATCTGTTTCCCTTAGTTCTCTTTATTCGCGAATTTTTGTTAAAAAAAAAAAAGAAAAAAAAAGAAAAAAAAAAGAGAAAAAAAAAAGAAAAGGAGAGAAGGAAAGAAATTAAAAAAATTAAAGAAAAAAAAA